CTTAAAGAAATTTTTATTATGTTAGTGTTTCATGTTTTAAAATCTTTTACTGAATATGGTTATGCACAATTGAATCTTAATTTTGAAAACAAATACTAGCTTATAATAAAAGTATCGATGTCAATGAGTAGTCCTAAATATTTATTCCACCGTCGCAATATGTTTTCTTTTAAAGATTCAAACCTAGCCTTAGGACACTCATTATCTACTCACTAACTTTATCAATTTAGGCTTGTCTACATCAGGTTTGTGCTTCTTAAAATAATTGCTGAGGATGTTTAAATTTCTTACCTTTAAGTTAAACTAATAAAGTTTCGTCTGCAGTAGGTATGAATTTTAACTTAAACAATATGACATCACATATTTACTAATTATATTTCACTTACACTAGAATAACTATCAAGGTATCTCATACCATTCTACGCTCATCATAATCAAGGATATTCATCATCAACGCCTTGAAGAATGGAGATATTATGTTGTTCTAGGTGCCAATCTTGATGAAGTCAAACTTCTTAACTTTGAATTATTTCATGAATAAAAAAAAGTATTACAATATGCATTTGGATCTTTGGTAAGATTTTTTATATTTGTTCATTTTCTTATCCTACAGCTCTAACACAGTATAAATTTATAAAATATTTCGTACAATAAAATTTTCCCAATATGCTGATGAAATCCTAGGTCCTTGCATCTTTATTATTAGCCTTTCTTCATACAACTATCCTCTATAACTCTTATCATTTGAATCTCTTCACAAAATATCTTGGCGCTACATAAGAGTAAAAACATACTCTATAACAGATTTAATTGTCACCGTGATTTGATTTAAATTTAGAGTATAAATCCTTTGTATTTCAAATTAATCACCTATCCATGAACTAAAAAAAGATTTATATTCATTCTTAAGTACTTCAACATACTTTTCATGACCTTCTAGTTACCAAATTCAAGATCTACTTAGAAACTTCTTGTGATACTCAAAGTGTAGGTCACATTAAGCCTAATGCAAAACATGACATACATAATAGATCTCATTACTAAAGCATAAGAAACATTCTTCATGTGCTCATTCTCTCATGGATTTGTGGAAATATCTTCTTAAAGAGTGTTATTCCTTGACAAACTTAAATACCATTTTTTAGAATTCTCTGTACTAATCCTTTTTAAAATGGTCTCTATGTTCTTGGACCAAGCAAAGTCATGCAACCTATTCACTTTATCTCCATATATTTATATCTTAAATATATATATGTCGATTCTCTCATATCCTACATGCATACATTTTGTTACAATTCAATTTTTACTAATTGTAACATCCCTATAATATCTCAATCGAGCAAGATATTCTTTATGTAGAGAACAATGAATTTTATCTTGCTTCCTACTTACTTTCTTGTCTCCACAGTTTTTTTCTTCATTTTGATGATATATTAACTATGTACTTTAATTAAAATGAAAGGACCAATTGCAAGAGGTTTACTAATTTAATAAATGGATCAATGCAGCTTAAAACCTTTTTCGGAATCCTTAAATGTGAAATTTTTAGTTATATCATATCCACATCTTTCTCATTTCCATTAAAGGTTATTTCCATGAAGAATTACCATAGCACTTTAGTGTGATCCAATCACAAGCATAATCCAAATAATCATCGTTAATGATGATATTTTTTCCTCATAATTAGTTAATTTCACTTCAACTTCCACAGTACATTTATCATATGATCTTTTTTATATCGTCTTAATGAGAATCTTGTTAAGTTCTAAGCAATGGTTATAAGACATGAACTTTAAAACTTACATAAGGGGAGGGGCATGATTGATTATGTATCATATCATATCTTATTATGGTATATTTTTTCCTGTATAACATGTTAGCTCTTTAAATCTTGACTTTTCAAGAATTCACAATAGAGAATTATGTCCTTTAACATGCAGTGTGAGGGTTGATGAATTTAATACCTTTTAAAAAAATATATATTTGACGAACTTTAATACTCATTATACTTTCTACCTTTAACATATTTTATCAAAATTCGACACATGTCAAAATGGACCAAGTCCAAAATTGGAAATGCTTTTTATCAATTTCTATTAAATTAAGTTCTAAACATTTTTTTCCATGAGATATGATTAGCATTTCCATGAGTCATATGTTAAAAACCTCATTCTTATCTTGATAATTCTATTCTAGTTGATATGATTAAATTATAATGTTAAAAAGATTCTTGGTTTACATGTTTTTGGTCCTCTTGTTCATACTTAAGACCTCTTATACGATTAAAGTATAATATCTTTTAAGATTTAAAATATAAAATGAATTACTTCTTCCACGAGCATTCCCATTATAATGTGAATAAATTACTTACAAATCATAATCCAAGTTATCAATGAGCAATCATGAATCAGCATGTCATATAAAAACATTTGGCTAAATCTGTGTATTCATTATCTGCGTGACGTCCTTTGATAATGTGGCCTCATCATTAAATCAAGAACTCGTTTTTTTGTAATTATATTTGTCCATTTTACCTTCACTCTTGATATTTTATCTAGTCAACACATCTTCATTTTCTCTTATCTTTGTGGCATTTTGATATCTAATACCTAGTATAAAGAATTTGTAACAAGACATGCTCTACAGTTTGATAAGCGTATTGAAACTTCTTTGAGTTTTTAGACATTGATATAATTTAAGAATGTCTCATGTCACTTCAACATATATGTATATATATATTCTATTTTTACAATAAAATATTACGTAATTTTTTTTTCTTTCGTTTATCATACTTGACACTTTTTATATTTTTTATTATTTTCACTGAATAATCACTATTTGTTCAAATCTCTCATTAAAAAATAGATTATAATCAATTCAACTAAATAATTAATTATTATTATGTGAGGATTTCATTTAAACACAAATTGTTTATGATTTAGGAAAAACCAAATTAGGAAAGAACAATTTACAACTACTTAACGAAGTCAAGACCAATATTTACAAGCATCATATGCCTTTTTAAGGTGCACTTCGTTAGACTATTTTCTAAACAACACCTAGCACTTGTCAAGATTGATCTTTTGACAATTAATTTTAGGACTTTCAATTAAATATGACACTCTTATTATTTTGTACAAATTCATGAATTATGAATAACATAAACTAATCATTTAGGTTAGAGGGTTAAATACCTAGTACTTCATCCATATTTTCTCTTTAGGTTTTCTAATTTTTATGTGGTAACACAATAAGCCATCATTTCTCCTAATTGAGTTACACCCATTGCTATGTGAACCAAAATTAAGAAGTATTTATTACAATACCCTTTAAAAAAAAAAACTCAATGTAGGTCTGAGGATGTGACGTAATAAATACATGAATTGTTTTTTTAGACTTTTATTTCTTTCTCTATGTTATCTTCCACTATTTTATAAATTCATAAAATTTTCATTTAATAAATTTTTTTTTAAATATGATGATGAATTTTTAGATTCGTGCAACCTTATTCATGAGTTTTTTTATCATAACATACTTTTCTGTCTCTTTTTTATGTGAGATTCTTTACTTTTCTGTCTTTTTCTTATATGAGATTCTTTGTAAAATATTATAATTTATTCAATATATATCAAAAATAAAGTTTTTTTAAACGTTACAATGTCAAATTATATAAAAATAGAATAAGATAAATGTTGAACATAACTCACTCTCCAATTCATTTGCATAAAATTCGAAATTCCCTATTTATTCATCTCGGTGGTGAAACACCTCATCAATCATTCACTGAGTCATGCCTAATCACTTTTTTGGATCATCCCAATCATCAATTAGGCTTTAATTTTTTTTGTTACATATCAAACAAGATTGTATCAAGAATGCATGGGTGGAGTTGCAGACTTGCAGTTATTTTATCCCAACCTGAACTTTGGCACGTGATTCTTTCCCCTATTATACAGATTATACTTCCAAAAGAAGCTGAATGCCATTCATTTTCCATTGTCATTAATTTCAGATCATGTACAGACATATATGGGTATAAGGAATATATACAAATAAATATCACCTGTACTCCCCATACCCATATAATTAATTTCACCACCTTTTTTCTTTTTCCTTATTGATCTTACAGGGAAAAATAATTTTTTTTTTTAAAAAAAGGAAAAAGAAAATATTATAAAAGAAAAATAATGACAAAAAGATAAAATCCAAGAGCAAAATCATGTGATCCAAACTAAAAGCCACCTTCTAACAGCGAAAATGGATAAGGTGGTGGTGAACTACTGGTCTCCCCCGCACCCCCAATACCCAAATAACTCACTTCCCCAAAATACCCACCATTACTCCCCACCGGCAACACCCAAGATGGTGTTCCCAGCGACGCCGTTCTGCCGTTCCCTAAACCCACGGCGCTTAATATCGCCGGTAAATTATCATTTCTGTGGGCCACCTCTACCCACTCCATGGAGCTGTTATCCGAGGAAGGCGATGACTGGCAAAGGCTCTCCGGCGACGAAGACGACGACACGCCCCGCCGCGTTACTTCCGTTGCTAATTCGTCTTCTTGCTGCTGCATATAGCAAGTACTGCTCGGTTCACTAGAAGATATTATCAATCGCCGTTTTTTATTTTCCATGGCGGTCAGATGCTTAGTGCGTTCTTTCTGGAGAAGCATGCGAGGAAGGAGGTCTGGGTCCTCCACAACTTTGTTGAGGAACGCCATCATTTGTTTTGGGCGCCTCTCTGTGGCCTCCAACCGCTTGTTCATGCCTTCTAGCTCCTCCTCTAACGACTTCTGCTCCTGCTTTAATCTCGTTATCTCCATAACTATTTCCTCATCCTCCAAAAGATTATATTCTCCGCTCTTCATTATCATTTGCATCGCGAACGGGCTCTTGGCATGCTTCTTCCTCATTATGTTCTTCAGTAAGTGCTTCTGCCCTCGCAAAAAATACTCGTTGGCGAACTCCCATCTGTCTGAATCCACCTTCTTGAATCCCTGTGTCCATTTACACCAATCAATATATGTATATATTAATTCCAAACATGAAAAACCAGAGGTCTATATACACATACGTATATATATCTATACATAAACTGGTTTGTTGTATACTTACGTAGGTGTTGAGTTGGCGGACGAAGCTAGAGAAGTTATTGTGCTTGAAGTAAGCAGGTAAAATCCTCAGAGAGAAATCTAAAGGGTCGGCAACGATGAAGCTGTTGTTGCCTCTGCTCCAGGTGATTAGCATATCCGTGGTTGGATCGTTGACCATCTGAAAAGTCTTCATAACGAACGGTGCGATGACGTCGTTAGCCTCCATCACCATGTAATTGCTTTCTGCAACTTTGTGGGATCTGTGTTATCCGTTATCTAGCTTGAGAAGTGGACTCTCTGTTATCTGGTGATGGAGGAGGAGGCAAGCAGGGGCATAGTTCTAAATTTGTGTGTGTGTGTGAGAAAGGGGGGTGTTTCATTAGCTTTTTCGGAAAGATGAGGCACCACCGTAATATATAAAGAGGCGCTCGTACAGAATCACGGGGCTATCGTGGCACAAATCGGAACGGTTAAAATGTTTCCTTGGCTCACGAAGTGGGACCCACTTGGTCCGCTTTTATTACCTTTCACTACACGTCATGGTCCGCAACGCAAGATATTTCATGTGAGCTGCTTGTGTTACGCGCATGGTAAAATGCGTGAGTCGCGTGGCACATGTTGACGTGGTCCCTCTCGGTGCAAGTGATGGACAACTGTAAGCATTGTAAGCTTGTAGCCCTACGACAGAATCTTATTTACTTATAATTATTTCAGGAGCGGAATTTTATATATATATCGTTAAGGAGGTTTGTTTTTATATAAATAAAAAATATTTTGGATTTTTAATCTAATTAATAGAATTTAATTTAAATAAGTATGTTTAAAACTTGATTTGCTTCCATAATTCAAGCCTTTTGCTTAACGGGGAATAAAAAGTCAGGTGGTGTAATTTTGTTTTTATTTATTAAAAGTTCTGTTTGACTTTTGTGGACACGCGCCTCAAAAAGCGAGTGGAACATTTCTAATTTATTTTTGCTAAATCATTTATATTTCACCTTGCACACCCATTTTCATTTATGCTGGTAACTGCAGCTAAATCATATACAAGTTGTCACAATTTATATTTATTGTAAACGTAAACATAAAAGTAAAATTACTTTTTTAAAAAAAAAAAATTTAAAAGGTCTCTCAAGAATTTATATATATATAAAGGAGGAGATGGAAAGAGCAAGCGAGCGATGAGAATGAGAATCCAATATGGTTTGTTAGGGGTTTACTTTTTGAGTTTGGGGGGCGACTGCGCCGTGCGCTGGCGCATAAAGAGCATGGGGCATATGTGGCGGCTTTCAATTCGCCCACGTGCGTGGCCCTGCCCTTTTATTTCTTTCCGTCCTCCTGTTTCTGGCCTGGGGAGCAGAATTATATATTCCAAATCTATGCTTGTCTCTTTTTTTTTTTTTTTTTTTTTAATAAATATCCCACCATTTCTATCCCACTACATTAATCCATTATTTATATTATATACATATACAAAGAGAGAGTGGTGTAGGGTGAGATTATCCTCTGTACACACGGTCAATGATATTTCCCTTTATTATTATTTATTGTATTTCAAACTATAGGAAAATTGATAGGTAATATTAAGTTAAACTATTAATTGTTGCTTAGCTAAATTGGTATTTTTAAAAATAAAAATAAAATATTTTTATTAAAAATTTATAATTATTTAATAAAATATATTTAATTGATATTAAGTGAAATTAATCAATTATCACAAACCCATTACTATATAGAGTAAGGGTTTTGTTTATTTGTACAAGGAAATGATTGACTTTGGTAGACAAAGTATATTAACCTTTTTTAATTGTCTCCTACCCGTTTCCCCTTTTTTTTTCTTAGTTTTTTCAATATTAAATTTAACGTGATTTGTTATTATTATTATTATTATTATTATTTAAGAATATAACATTTAAAAACAAGTCATTTTAGTTGTTAAATATTTATATATATATATATATATATTTTAGACAACATTCCATAAATTTTTAATTTTTTTTAAATAATTAACATTGTTATATAATAGTTTAAAAAAATAAAATGAATTAAATGTTGTTCGAAAATTAAAAAAATGATATTTTTACTACTCCTCATATTCATACTCTCTTGCTCTCATCACTTTTTCTTAACACTAGATGAGAAGATGCAAATTTCTTTCAGTCCCAAGTAGCTCTCTCCAAAGGAAATACGTTACCATCAACTATTTAAATTTGCTTTTCCTTTTATTCCCCCTATCACTAAGTTTGAATTAATTCTATATGGTATTAGGTCTATAATTTGTTTCTCATACCTCTTCTTTTTGATTGGTTTCTATAATCTTTTATGAGGCTCCATATTCTTAGCTAGGGAAGCTCTAATTTGCACCTGACAATTTCATATTTTTTTGTTAGTGCTTGTTTTCTTTCTCTTTCTGTTTCAATATGATTGTTTGCCCTTCTATTTGGTTAATCTTTTTTTAAATAAAAAAATAAAAATAACTTTATGCATGATAGTACTATCTTTTAAAAGAATAATTAATATTAATATTGTAACATCCCAAATCCAAAAATTAGGCTCGGAATGATAAAATTTAATTTTTTAAATAATAATAATGTGTAGATTTAATTTTAATTATTTTTTTTCTTTGAGATATATGTATTTTGGACATCTTTAAAAATAATTTTAAAAATCAAAAGCCAAACCGAAAATAAGAGATGACCTATTTAAAAAGAAATTCAAAAAGGATGGGTCAATTTGCGAAAAGAAATAAATAGGCCACGTGGATGCCCAGTCAACAGCATGACGAATCGCCGCACGCCGCGTGGTGGACACGTCGACACAGGCTCTACACGGGAAGCCACGCTAGCAATTCGTGTGTCAGGTCGATCAAACGGCTCAAGGCTACTCCCGCATGTACGAACGACCCAAACTAATTGTAAAGACTCGGAACTTAAAAAGTAATAAAGTCATAAATTAAATGCATAAACAAAATAGTAGAGTTTAGGGTTTACATTCATTGCACAATAATTTAGAAGGCCCAATAGGGGTACGGGAATGTGTTATCTAAAAGAATAAAGAAAAATTAAAGAAATAAACAAAAGGCAAATAACTAAGCATTTTAGAACGATATTCGCTAGCTTCTAAAGGGAGTCCAGGTGGTGAACTTATTCACAACCCTCTTGTTGATCAGGAACTGGGTCTTGATCCTTTTGATCTGAAACAGTTAATGAAACGGTGAGTTACACTATTTCAGTAAGAATATCACACTACTCACTGATACAGAAACTGAAGGTTGGTAAAAATAATAAAAAACAACCAATAGAGTCTTGATTTAAGTAAATTCATTTATTACAAAGAAAATCATTTATCGTATATATTTACCGTTGCAAGATTTTCAAAATCGATCTATAGAGACAATAACTTAAAGAACATTCTAATCTCACATTCAAGTGAGTAAGGACAATAACTTTCCCTTTTTATTTACCTACTGGTATCCCTAGGGGCCCATAGGGATGTCTCACTACATGTGAACCCATATCTAATATTGTCAACAAACTAGCCATCCCATATTCCGTCCGGTATGAGCGCCAAAAATACCATCTCTTAATACATCGTCCAGTATGAGGGTGAATCGGACCGTCTCCATACCCCATCTGGTATGAGCGCCAAAAATACTATTTCTCGATACCCCGTCCGGTATGAGGCAACGTTTACGGTAGGGTTCTTTATATACCCGTTCCGTCCACCATCTTCCAGAATATCCAATAAGGCTACCATTCATTAATTTACATTATCAAATAATTTTTTGTTTGCATATTAATTACTAATTTTACGAATCAACCGTAAATCACGCAAGACAAGCAATATATATATCAAGGAAGCAGAATTGAATCATTTAACCATTCCAGTATATCATCACGTATTTAAGCTGTAAATTCAACAATCAATTAAACAGGACGACAAATAAATGACTAACCGATTTTTGGCTCCATTGATAACCTGTAATTATTCTCAAAATTTTTTAAATTACATAAAATATCATATTACCGATTATTAAGCTTCAATTCCATAACAGAGAATTAAGTGAGGAATACTTACCCGAATTGATATTTGAAACACTGAACTTTCTACTACACTTACTGGCAGTCTCCGAATTTCTTTAATTTTCCTGCGGAGATTAAAATACGCTTCATGTACCTAAAAATACCCCAAAAAATCTAAATTCAGTGTTAAATACCTTTTTCAACCAATTTTGAAATTCTGACACGGCGAAACTGTCGTGCTCCGGCGACGGCACCGCTGCCGACAGTAGTGGTTTAAGTCAGTCTGATCTTTTTCAGCCAGTTTTGGCTGGTTTCTTCCGATTCTATACCCATTCCTATGAGAAAACACGTTAAGGGATCTCGGTTGGTCGAAAAAAGTCAAAAAAATAAAAACCTACCGGTGGCAGGCTTTCCGGTGTAGCAGCTCTACTGGTTCACCTTCACAACTGGGCATATTTCTTTAGTCAACCTGTAGAAAACAAAACAATGAGCACCATGGTGTAAATATTGCACGAAACAAAAAACGAGAAGAGACTCATCGGATGAGGTTTCAAGTTTTGCTAGCGGGGGCATCACCAGGATTTACCCGCAGTTTTTGCCTAATCTACTTTTTTTTTGTTCTAATTTTACCATTGGGGTGCTCGGAATCAAATTCGGAGCGCATAGGAGAATTTTTACCTTTTTTAGTGGTCGGAGGTGGCTTCGGCACGGCGACAGGCGGTGATCGGCCCCCTTCTCCAGCAACTGATTCTTCTTCTCCGGCAGGAGGTTGGCAGCTAGAGTTTGGGATTTGGTATGATACGAGATATTTATACCCGTCTCACATTAATCTGGACAATTCATCACGTTTAATCTTGACCGTCTGATCACATTTGAATAGAAATAAATTTTATATC